TGAAAATTGTCCAATAATTATCTAGGGTCGTTTTACTTGAATAATTGACCTTGCGTTTAAAAATATTCCGATAATCAATCTTAATTTCGCGAAAATAATTAACCTTGCTAAATATAATAATGAATACAACAATAGATATCAATGTCGATATCCAGATATAAGTATCGTACGGCTCAAATAGATTGATATTTGTTTTAGCACGTGGTAATGGGGAAGTAAAACCCACTTCATCAATAATATGAGGGTAGCTAAAGTCGATATTTTCAATATGCTCAATCTCGTAGATTGCTATAGGTGATATATCAGCTATCTGTATCAATAATAATTAGAGTTTTAAATTATTATTGCATTAATTTATAAAAATAATAGTAATTAAAACACACTTAAACTAATTATTTTGTAAAACCAATTTACAATTTAATCAAGGTAGTTTAAAACAGTACAAACCTTGTACCGCAAAGCACTAATAATTCCGGCGCATGTATAATTATTGGGCTCCTTTCTATAGTCCCAAACTCGATTACAATCCAATGTATGATAAGTGAAATTAAGCATGGTTGATATTGTTTGTAATATTTGATAATTAATGCCACCAATGATACGGCGTTTGGATATATCGGATTCGGTGGACATTTCAATATATGGACTCCACTATTGTATTTAAATAAATAAACAAGGTAAAATATTTTAGCATTATAAATTATGAATTTACCTGATTTGCTGCGACTGTTAAGTGTTTGCCATTTAATTCGTTCATTTTTATAAAATGCTATTTTTTACTTTTTATTAATGCTATGGATTTGAAAATCTGTAGTTTTAATTTAATAATAAAATGTTTTATTTTTTATAAATTTACTTTAAATGTTGATTATACCATACCTGATTAATAATAGTTATTTGTATATTGTATATAATACATGAAATATCTGTTATACTATTGTTAAGTAAAATTTCTATCTAGCTAAATAATATCTTTATATTTAATATTAGTATTAAATGTATTTTCCCATAATATTATACAATATTTTGCGTTAAAAGTAAATTATCTTGATATTATTGTTATTTTATTCAAATGTAATGATAATACTAACTTAATTGTTTTTTCCTGTAATATTACATTTAAAAATATGTATTTATGAATAATTCATAAATACAATTATTGTATTAATATCTGTTAAAATTATAATACATTTGCAATTAAATAAAACTATTTTCTATGGATATTATTATATAATTAAATGAAAATATATATTACTTGTTATAATTAAAATGAAAATAATTTTAATAATGTTATGATTATATATTTATTTAGACTATGATATTTATGTACATTATAATAAAATATCAATATTATATTGTAATAAATATTAAATGTTTAGAAAATAATAATTAAATTTTTATCATAAATATTGTTAATATAAAAAGTAAGTAAATAATAAAAATAACGTATATTAATAAAATGTATAATTATATATCATTACGATTTTATTAAATTAATAAATTGTAAATTGAAATTATTAATTTACAATTTATATATATAAAATATAAAATACTAGCCCTATAATAATATTGACAATCATTTAAAACCCATAAATTAATTATAAATAATTATCATATATAATTTTTAACATTAAAAACTTATTTACAGTCATTAATTAAATTAATAAATCTATTATATTGATTAAAAACTATACTTTATTTTAAAAAACATCGTGTCAATTAATGAAATACGTGTTGAAACTAAGGGTCAGTTCATTAAAAAAGCTACAAGCAAATATTATTTTTATTGAACATATTTACAATTAAAATAATTAAATCTGTGACAATTAATAAAAAATAATTACTTCCGACAATCAAAATAAATAAATAAATTTTTACTAAAATTTATCAATTTTATAATAATCAATAACGTTGATTTACAACTAAAATATATTTCAAAGATTAGATAATTAATTAATATTGGATAAAAATTATAACTTATAAATCTATAATCACAATTAATTTTATTAAATGCAGTTTCACCATAATTGGGGAATTGTTATATCTGTTATTGTTGGCATATGCGTTAACATTGGCACATGCGTCAGCATATCGTATTTATATTAATTGATAAACATTAATAAAATATTAAATAAATCTTTATAAACTTATTACACAATGTTTAAACAATTAGGAATCTTAAGATAATAACAATAGGATAATATTGATTACATTATTGAATAAATAATGAAGTGTTCGAGGTTGTTTAGGATGTTTTTAAAAATTACCTTCATTAATGTTTATCAATTAATATAAATGCGATATGCCAATGCGATATGCCAATGCGTGTGCCAATGTGCCAATGCCCACGCATGTGCCAACAATGACACATATAACAATTCCCCAATTATGGTGAAACTGTATTTAATAAAAGTATAAATAGCAAATTTTATTTATACAAAAATCACATAAATTCTAATAAATAATTATTTTATAAACAAAATAAATCAATCATTATAATTATGAGCAAAACATTGATTCTGTTAGTCAGCGCATACTTGGCCATTGCGTACGTCGAGAGCAACGTGGGCATTGGCAAAGGGGACACCATGGTCAACTCGATGGTCAACTTACCATGCCAGGTCAATAAGGACTGCGACGAACTGATGCCCGACATGGTATGCATGCTAACAAACTGCCGCTGTAGTCAGAGTACAAATACTAGCGGCCATTACACGTGCACAGCCCTAAGTTGTGACCCACGCACGTGTCAGTGTCCGGTCAACTACGAGTTCAATCGGACGAGTAAACAGTGCGAGGCATACAAGTGCGCCAACGATGGCGATTGCGCGAAGCGTGGTGATTTTCGCACGTGCGACACCAAAACAGGCAGGTGCCTATGCGACGAATTCAGCAATTACGTTGACAATAATGACGGTGGTATGTGCAAACATTTAGATGTGAAAGCTTGCACCACGGTCACTGATTGCCCTATCGAGCATCAAGTGTGCGAACCCAAGTTTAAAACATGCCGGTGCGCGTCAGACTATAGGGCCTATGACACAACTCAGGTATGCGAAAAGTTTACGTGTAAAACGGATGAGGAATGTCAGCATACGTGGGCACCAGATCTTACATGTCTCAAAGGTCATTGTATATAACACTTAAACATCCAAGCTGGTTTTAACGTTGTTATTATACTATTTATTTAATAATTTTAATAAATTGAAATTGTTTTTGCATTGAAAATTTTATTATATTATTTTTTAACCACGATTCAATAGAATGCACTAATGATAATAAATGAATGCCAAGAAATATATTGTTATGCCCAAAGAATAGGCATTATGGAAATACCACAATTTACAGTCATCTCAATACTCAATTGGGGTTAATAGAAAATAATTGTGAATAAATTGACTTTATTCATCATTATAAAATCTTAAATAGGTAAATTATTAAAATTATATTGCGTTTAATGCGTAATTTATGCAATAAATATAAACTTATATAAGCGCTTACTTATTATCTTTGCGATACCAATATAATTATAAATTAAAAATTTAACAAATATTTATTAAAATTCTTAATTTAATTTACAGTCTATGTTAACGGCCTATATAATTGTAATAAAAATATAAGATTGGATATGTGTTAATGGATTAACGCATTAAACGCAATATAATTTAAATAATTTACCTATTTACAATTTTATAACAATAAAAAAGTTAATTTATACACAATTAAAAATATACGCCAATTTCGGGGACCAATAAAATTATAATTTATAAATCTACAAAAATTTATCATAACTTTCAAATTTAATTACAGTCTATAAATAATTTTTAATTTTATTAATTAATCTACATAAACAAATTAATCTAATTATGTATGAAATGGCTATTTATGAATTATTTCTAATTAAAACTTATTACTAATATTTTTAAAAATATTACAAATTAATAAATAAATTGCAATAAAAAATACGCTATAATAAAAAATTTTAATTGCCGGATGTAAAGTTTTGTCAAATGAAAATTGAGATTGCATTAATTTGCACCAACTATGATGTTGTTTGCATTTGGATTACCATATAATTGCATAAATAAGATTAAGGATACAAATATGATGCAAACTTTTAGTGGAGCAAAATAGTCTTTCTTTCCACTTGGAACCAAATTATTAATTATCAGATGCTCATCTAAATATATTGCATTATGTAAATTCATTTACAGTTTTTAACTAAAATTATTTTGTTACTCTGAACCCATAACAAATTTTATTATTCTATTACAATTATATTGTTTGTTATCATAAACAGTAAATTAAATTAAACATTATGGTAGATATTTGTTAATTTTTCTATTTATAGTTATATTTGCAATATACTGTACATGTGAGTGCAATTTTTTTAAATCTTAAATTAACTTACAATATAAAGTAATTATAGGATTATTTAAGAAAATTATTTAATTAGCTTATTAATTGTAATAATTATTTAATATAATTACATTTATTAATTATATTCAAATTAGACGTTTTGTTTAATAAAAATACAGATTGCGTGCATTAATTATTTGTCGTAAATAAAGTAAACACAAATTCCAGAAACATTTCAATTTATTAAAGTTACAGTGCAATTAAATTCACATTTTCTATAAACCCAAATTGGGTATTAAATTATAATTTAATAATATTGGTACGTTTTGGTTAAATAATAAGATGTAGACTTAAAAAGCATAATCTGTTAAAGGATCATAGGGAAATCGGCGCAATTTATCAATTGGGATTTGACCATATAACATTAATTTCCATATGTGTATAGGATAAACAGTCTCCTGGTATAGTCCATATTGGTGATTAATCTTGACTTTAAACTACGATAAACACTATACAAACCGTTTACCATTGGTTCCCTCACCCACTCAAATTATTTTTAAGTAAATATATAAATAGATTAAAAAATTCAAAAAATAAACATTTTATTAAATTATATAATTAATCTAAATAATAAACAATTAATGATTATGTTTATCAAATATTATGATTTAATTTAAAATATTGTTTTATTAATGTAAAGTACTAACTTGTAAGTGTATTACTTAAATAATTAATATTATAATAACTTTGACTATTGTGCACATTTAATAATTGTACAATTAACTTATTTTATTAATAATAAATAAATTTCACAATTATTTGACATTTAAATACAATGTGTTTTTAAAGGTTATACAATGTGACAGTTATTTATATGATTTAGAACATGTTCATAAAATAAAATAAGACTTAATAATTTTTACTTTTATATTGTATTAACTAGAATGTTTTATAACAATAAATATCAATATGTCACTATATAATATCCGGTTTTACCTTGATGAGAAATTTTAAACATATATAATAATTTTATTATGACTCTCAGTTGCGCGCTATACCTCGAAATGTAATAGCTCATTTATCTGAACATAGATTAATTATACTAAAAACGATTTATAAAACAATATTTTAAAACAAATGTTATAGGTTAATTAATTAAACAAATAGAGTGCAATGTAAATGTCTATTCATGACATAACAAGTTAAATCAATTAATTTTGCTACTCGTTAAGGTAACCCGGATAAAATATTAATAATAATAATTTATGCAACTGGCAAGGTCATATAATACAGTTAATTCTCAAATTAATACTCTAAAAAATTGTTAAATAATGTATATTAAAAATAAATTATTAATATAAACTAAATTATAAATGCTAATCGTCCTATTAAATTTTGAATGCATTTAATATGCTATCTGTCAACGGATTATTATATAAAACATTGTATTTATTTATTAATTAAAAGTTGAATTTTATTATGCAGTATCAAATATTAATTAGTTTGATTTGTATTATTAATGTAAATAATTCTCATTGCACAATAAAACATGTGTCTATTCATAAATAATTAATTATTACAAAGTAAATGTAAATGTTTTTAAATCAATCATGTCAACTTTTGATAAATTTTTAAAGTATAAAAGAAGCTATCACAAATCTGGTTGAATCAACAGTTGCTGTTAAATCAGTAGATTAATTAAGTTTAATCGCTAACTACAAGCAAGAAACATCATGTTGTATAATCAAACTTTGTCCATAGTATTAACAGTGGGGTTACTGTATTTATCGGGTGAAGCGGCGGGTGTTTGGCGGCAACGATGCGGCAAATCACAGACCGGCACCCGTATAGTGGGCGGGGAAGAGGCTGTCAATGGGAAATGGCCCTGGATGGTTCGCCTCAGGTTATGCACGAGTGAAAGCAGTTGTAGCCGATGTGGGGGTTCACTGATTAGCGACCAGTGGATACTGACCGCCGCCCACTGTTTTACCGGTGACAAAATCACGCAAATTAGCGCTAGGCTAGGTGATTATGACTTTGATGATGAACAATGGAAAGAATTAATCGTTCCAGCTATGCAGGTTTGTAGAATTAGTGATTATATCATGTTTTTGTTTAGTAATACTAAATTAATATAAATGTTTTATTTTTGGTATTAAAATAGTTGCTATATTTTTATTTACTTAATTATAAGTTAAATAATATAGTGTTTATTATATATTTATTTATGTGAAGAGATTTATTAGTATAATAATTATAGAACAATGTCAGTATTATACAATATAACGGGGATAAGTTCAATAAAGCTTTATAATTTATTAAATAATATTTCATATATAAATATTTAACTATAACCAAATAGTTTAATTATAAAATATAATTTTGACATAGATTGTCTACTATAAAACTAGTTCATAGCATTATATAATAGCATTAAATAAAATTAATTAAAACAATATGAATAACACAAATTAATATTTAATACTAACTTTTAATTCAAATAAGTTATATCATAATTAATTTAATGGAAAGCATTAATTACCTAGCCTCGCATTCACGAGGGTTACAGCACAAAAACTCACCTCAACGATATTGCTCTACTCAAGCTATACAAACCGCTAGATCTAACTGGTTTGGGTATCGAACCAATATGCTTACCACCGGCTAAACTAAAAATTCCTTTGGGCTTTGAATGCTATGCCACCGGTTGGGGCTACACAATAGGCGATCGAGCGAGCCTCTCGGACAAATTGCAGCAAGTCAAATTACCAATCGACAATACTGATTTTTGTCATAAACAATTTCGAGGTCAGTATTTGATATTTTTAAACTAGTGATGTTAAACATATTTTTGAGTGCCGGTACCGCTTAAATTTAAGGTACTTAGTGCCGATATTTGTGCCGCACAAGTGCTGGTGTTCAAATAATATTTGTTGACTAGTAAATAATTTTTCCATTTTTGATCTAGATTTTGACAATGATACGCAATTGTGTGTCGGAACTAAAACCGAGGGCAAAGATACCTGCAAAGGCGACAGTGGCGGACCTCTAAATTGTCAATTAAACAATGGTGCCTGGGTGGCCGAGGGTATTGTGTCATTTGGTAATGACACATGTGGTAATGAACCAAGCGTTTTTACCCGAGTGTCCTCCTATATACCATGGATTGAATACAATACTGGCCTAAAATTTTAATTAATTTTAATTGTGACGTTTTAAAGTAATTAAAATTATGATTGTTAATTCATACTTGATCATGATATAAAATATATCTTTTAATAAAGCATAATGCAATTTATATATGGTTTTACAATCTTTTACCAAGGTATGCACTCCTATTCATTAAGTTAACTATAATTTGGATAATAATGGCGCGTAAATTAAATTGTGACCAAGTTATAATCTGTGTAAGCTATTGCAAAACTAAGTAAATTATTACATATTTTGCGTATTTATTATTTCCTCTCATAAAATATCAAATAACTATCTTAAATGACTAAATAAATATGAACAAATTATAATAATTTAATGTAATAATTTAAAATTAAATTAAACAACAATATTATAAATAAAGTTTTAAAACTGTAACATAATTATCTGATAATTAATAATATATCTAATTAATTTTATTAGATATATAATTGGCCGCAGTTAAAACCGAGTAAATTAAAACCATACGAAATAATTAAAATTGTATTTTTTGTGTAAATAATAAAAAATAAAATTTTAAAATCTCTCTCTCTCTCTCTCTCTCTCTCTCTCT